TTGGGATCCCTACCAAAGCGCTATGGATGCTGCCCCTTCCAGTGTCCTGTGCGAGCCTCCTGTGCCCCGTTTTGGTGTAGGCCAGGGCTTGGCAACAATAAGAACTTTGAGCACTAGAGACAGGTCCCAAGAGGGTATAGAGGGGGGCCAACAGTGCCGAAGTGATGGAGTCAACTACCTCCTGGGGTAGGTCACCTAGAACCTCCGTGTCCCATCCAGGGACCAGACATGAAGTTTCCAGAGGTCTGGACGCGGGTGCCACAGGGATCCTTCCTTAGAAAAATCTGCCAGGGAGGGGCTGTCATGAGGAGCATTAGTTCCCGGGAACCAGGTCCAAGTGGGCCAATACGGCGCCACAAGCTAGACCTGCTCCTCATCCTCCCTGACCTTGCACAGCGTCTGTGCGAGAAGGCTTACTGGGGAATTTTATTTTTTTTTACAATCTGGGCATGGAGTCTCCACTCTATGGGGAGCGCAGCTCGTGACAGCTCGTCGGCTGCATGGTTGTGCAGGCCCAGAATGTAAATGGCACTAAGCGACCTCAGATGCTTCTGACTCCAGAGGAGGACAGTTCAGAAATAAAATGTCCGTTGAGTTGCACTAAAAGGTTAATAATTTCATACCCAATGGTCCATATCTCAAAGTGCAATTCTGTACCAGGTGAGCTAATGAGCAAGTTTACTACATTAGTTTACTAAAAAAAAAATCGACATGTGATACACAGCCACAACAGCACTTATGTTTTATTTATTTTTTTCCTTTTTATTCGAAACATCCCCAAACGCATTAACTATATCATGAAATATCTTGATTCTCACCTTTATTCTCATATTTATGTTGATCTATGATGGTCAAAGTAACCTAATAATGTAATCTATTAACTATGCATAAAAACCTGCCAGTTTACTTAATTAACAGATATGGGTGTCATACCATAACATTTTTAATACGACAGTTTATATTTAATGTGAATTTAACATTGAAAGTTAATGTGAATAAAAACATTGCAAGTTAGGCTACTAATCATACCACTTTCATTGTACAGAAAAAGAGCAAAGAACATTTACATTATCAAAGAACATTTTCACTAACAGTCTAGTAAAGTTCAAGCACTCTCAAAAACTCCCATTAAAATCACTGAAGCTGTTTACACTATGAAATGAATATCTTACAGATTCATACAAACATTTGCACTTTGTTGTTTCTGATGAGCGAATTTGCCAGAAAGAGGTATTCAAGTTCAAGCACTCTCAAAAACTCCCATTAAAATCACTGAAGCTGTTTACACTATGAAATTAATATCTTACAGATTCGAAAACACATTTGCACTTTGTTGTTTCTGACGAGAGAATTCGCCAGAAAGAGGTATTCAGTCAGTGAGCGAGTGAAGAAAACACCGGCATTTTAGCGATGACTCATCTGAGCACCTCTGGTCATTGCATTCATAAGCTCAACAGCATCGTGTGTGATTGGTTAATGCGCAGTGCTGTAAAAACGCGTCTGTATCTGGCTCAGCGCCAGCCAGCGAATGCAGATTTGAATTTAGCAGCTGATGATATGACGCACTGAATGTTCTAATCACACCGATGTGATTGCATTAAATATAGAAAATATTAATCGGCTATTTTTTGTCTTTTGGAAGCTGCATTCAAAATCCACTTGGCTCAAAAATCTGAGGGGGCATGTGCCCCCTCACTTTGAATGGGCATGACTCCTCTGGACGGGAGCATAGACCACCTTGTCGGTTGATGTATGCAACGGTCACAGTGTTGTCCGTGCGGACCAGCACGTGCTTGCCTCGTAAGCACCCTCTGAGACGGTTCAAGGCAAGGCATACTGCTAACAACTTTAGGCGGTTGCGTCCAAACCCCCGACACTGTGTGCCCGTTGTATGTGGCCCCCCAGCCAGTGGAGGAGGCATCCGAGTAAACCACAGCATGCCTGGAGACCTGTTCCAGGGGCACTCCTGCCCAGAGAAACGCAAGGTCTGACCACGGAGTGAAGGTTTGGTGGCAGGCCGGTGCTTAGACCCGGTGAGTGCCGCGTAGCCACGCCCACCTCGGGACTCGGCCATGGAGCCAGTGTTGAAGCGGTCTCATATGAAGTAGCCCCAGCGGCGTGACTGCCACTGTAGCTGCCATATGCCCCAGGAGCCTCTGAAACTGTTTCAGTGGGACCG